TGCAATGGATGCAGGAGAACGGGCTGAGGCTGAACCCAGACAAGACGGAAGTTCTGAGGGTGGGTGGCCCTGTGGATGGTGGCTTGAGAAACTCCCTCATATTTGGGGGGGTGGCCTTTGCCGCGAAGAGTGGGGTCCATAGCCTGGAGGTACACCTGGACCCGACACTCACCATGGAAACACAGGTGGCGTTGGTAGTCCGCACCACCTTTTTCCACCTTTGGCGGATTGCCCAGCTGCAACCTTGCCTAGACACGGGGGCGCTCACTACCTTAGTATATGCTCTCGTAATATCTAGATTAGACTACTGTAACACGCTCTACGTGGGGCTCCCTTTGAAGCTGATGCGGAAACTTCATGTGGTGTAGAATGCGGCGGCCAGACTCCTTACTGGAGTGAGAAAATACCAACATATCTCTCCTACTCTGGCCATGCTGCACTGGCTGCCCAATCAACACAAGCCCGACCGGATGGGGTGCTCACTGCAAGGGACTACAATTTCACACTCTATGGTCTCCCTCCAAGAAACTGCTTCACATAAACAACTTAGAACTTCTAGCCGTATTCAAGGCTCTCTGTGCATTTGAACTGTTGGTCACCGGCACCGTTGTTCAGATTATGACAGACAACACCACGGCCCTATTTTATCTCAACAAACAGGGTGGGACACATTCTCTTCCCTTGCTTTACCTTACCATCCAGCTCTGGGAGTGGTGTCTCGAGCACCACATATTCCCAATAGTAGTTCATATCTCCACTAACCACAATCGTATAGCGCACTGGTTCTTAACCTTGGGTTACTCAGTTTTGGACTGCAACTCCCAGAAGCCTTCACCACCAACTGTGCTGGCTGGGGTTTTGGGGAGTTGCAGTTCAAAAACATCTGAGTAACAAAGGTTAAAAACCACTGGTATAGCGGACTCTCTCAGCAGACTCAGTTCGCAGATGCACAATGGTCCCTCGACGACTCCATCTTTCACCAGCTAACCACTTTATGGGGACAACCACGCATGGACATCTTTGGATGGTGTGGCCTTTTGAACCTCTTGCCACAGCGTCCAATCACCTTCTTGCTTACAAGACCCTCTTCCTTGTGGCCATTACTTCTGCTCGTAGAACTTCAGGAGTGGCCATTACTTCTGCTCGTAGAACTTCAGAAGTTGCTGTGCTTAGAGTCGACCTTCCTTTCCTTCAATTTTACCTGAAAAAAGTCACTCTTTATCCCAATGTCTCCTTTCTTCCAAAGGTTGTTTCTGAGTTCCACCTTAAGCAACCCATCATTTAACCTACCTTTTTTCCATCACCTCTTAATGACTTGGAACGTTCTCTCCACCTCTTAAGACGTTAGGCGAGCATTGGCCTTCTATGTTTCAAGGACCGCCTCTTTCCGCAAATCCAAGAGACTTTTTGTTTCTCCGCACTTACCACACAGAGGATGCTTTATATCCTCTCAAACCATCTCTAGTGGCTTATATTGACCATTCGCTTGGCATATCAGTTGGCTAAGAAGCGTCTTCCAGTTGGAGTTAAGGCTCATTCTACGAGGGCAGTAGATACTTCTGCAGCATTCCTCAGAGGCGTTTCTATCCCTGATATCTGCAGGGCTGCTACGTGGTCCACGCCGTCCACCTTTGCTGCTTGGACTTCCGAGCTAAGTCAGATGCTGCATTTGGACAAGTGGTCCTGTCTTCTGTGACGTCCCTCCTCCAGTCAGGTAAGCTTGTTAATCACCCATTAGTGTGCATTCACAGAGACCACGAAGAAGAAAGAGAGGTTACTTACCTGTAACTCTGGTTCTTTGAGAGTGGTCATCTGTGAATTCACACTTCGTGCCTGTCCTCCCCTCTGTCCATCATGTCTGTTTCATTTTAGCGGCAGGCAGTTTGGGAACTGAGGCACTAGCCAGGATGGGAGGGCCACGTGCACTGGGGGTGGTGGTCCTGGCGAACAAGTGTTAAGCTCTAGAAGGTTCTGGAAGCCTCTGTGCAGGCAGATTAACCCATTAGTATGAATTCACAGATGACCACTCGAAGAACCAGAGTTACAGGTAAGTAACCTCTCTTTTTCCACTGACAAGACTGATGCCTGTTAATACATATCTGTATTAGAGATGAGTGGTGAAACACGTTTCATGCGTATGTTTGTCGACAGGAATATATTTTGGTCTGGCTCTCCGTAAAATCATATCTTGGTTTATGCCTTTCACTTTCCAGTAACCCTATTCTCCAAGCGTATCCTTATTGTGCTGCCTTCTAGGGTCAGAAATGAGGCCCTCCAACCTCCTGGCCCTCAACTTATTTTGTGTGTCAGGCTTTGGCGTGATAGTTACCAAGGAGTTAAAAGGTAGCGAGGACACGTTTGTGTTTTTACGCACAGCCTCTTTTTAAAAATTCTGTTGGCATATCGCAGACGGTGGGCACTGGCAGGAACCTCACATCTGCTTGCGTCTTGCACAGAATCTCAATAGCTCTATCATTTGGTGCTGGTGCCTGCTTCCGTGCTAGGCCTTTGTGGAGTGCTGATAATGCCTACCATCTGCCACCGAGCACATCGCTACCTGCCAACAGGCAGGCTAGGGTGACCTCTGCTTCTCCACTGCTGATTAGTATTCACACACTGGCTTATTAGGAATGACCCCACCAGGCCCCTCTGTTTCTTTGCCTTTGCTGTGCTTGGAGGCTTACCTGGCAGTCACTGCTGTGGAGGAAGCTAAGATATAATCAGGGGATGCAGGCAGGCTTTGCAAAGCAGATGGTGTCTATAGTTCTCTGTCAAGGGACTGGACTGTTAATGCAAATATTAATTCCTCCTAGTCAAATACTACATAATATAATGGATAGCTATACATTATGGGGGCTACACAGAGCAATTGTTTTAGGATTTCCACTGTTTCATACTCACTACTATCCTCTCCTCAAACAGCACAAAAATTGTATTTCATCTTATACTGATTACAAACATTGCTGTTCCTTAAAGAGTGGAACACATTAACAAATTGTAAGAAGAGGCTGGGCGAAGGCATTTCTTCTTAACCAAACCTTTGGATAGAATGTAATTAGTTGGAGTCAATTTGAGCGGTTAAATTATGAAAGAAAAAGGCAGTTACCAGTTACAATGTAAATAACATTTTGATGTGGTTTTATAGGATTGTATTTGGAGGATGTGTATTGTAAGCTTATTTAAGCTCCAATAAGCGGGAAATTAAGTCGTATTTTCCCTAGAAATGCAGAAAATTAATGAGACCCAGTTCTCTTTTGGCTCTCTTTCCAGAATAAATGGCTTAGTCGCAGCCCCATGTTGCAGAGGAGAGTTTACCATTCCATGGCTGCTGTTCAAAGAAAGCTCTATGTTTTAGGTGGCAATGACCTGGATTATAACAATGATAGGATACTTGTCCGCCACATAGACTCGTACAATATTGACGCTGACCAGTGGACACGCTGCAACTTCAGTATGTTGACAGGTAAGTAGCTTTTCATCTATGTTTGCCATTGAAACAAATGTACAAGATTGCAGAGGCAAGCCATGTCAGCAACAAGAAAAAACAAAACCCAACAAAAACTACAGTGTAGTGGCAGAATCAGCTATAGGACCAATATAATTAAGATGGCAAATCCGGGTGGGTATCAAGCTGTTTCGAAGTCATGTGTGGAGTTTAGTAAACTTCTTGTTTATGTTGTGTCGCAGATTCACCATATGTGTGTGGATCAAAATTTGCTGTAGGTGTACTCTAGTTCAGCCTTTCACTCATAACTGGGTAGAGGTTAATTATTACTGATCAGCTGTAAGAGCAGAGTACAGGAACAGGAACTTTTATAGCAAATTCAAGAGACTCTTTTCTAAAGATGACTAATACTGTTGCCACCAGTAAGATACGGAGTATGCATAATTTACTGGGTATGTGGAAGAGGTTAGGAATATAGCTTGTACATTCCAGTGGTGGAACTTCTTCATTCTCTTCACAATAATGCTTCCTCTTTATACTGTGCTGGGAAGAGACTTCTTCATTCTCTTCACAATAATGCTTCCCTTGGACCCCCGTGCTGGGAAGAGCAGTGGGATAAAGTTGTGTGTGTGTTTTAAGTAAGGGAGCAAATGTGTGCAACAGCAGGAAAAGAAAACCCTTCACTCTGTCAATGTATGTGTATGTGTATTCTGGTGTTTATTTAAAACATTTAGAGAAGTACTGAAAGGTGTAGCCTATTCTGTAAATTTTAAAAGAGACTAGAGTCTATGTTTTCTACTTTAAACCATTGGCAAATCTGAAAGCTTTGAATGTCACAGTCTGTCTGCAGTATCTTGTAGGAAAGCAGTGCTAACTTTCTGTAATAGATTAACAAACATCCGCAATTAATTTTACTTTTTTACTTTAGGCCAAAATGAATCTGGAGTTGCTGTTCACAACGGCAGAATATATTTAGTTGGTGGTTATTCAATTTGGACAAATGAACCCTCAGCATGTATCCAAGTGAGTGATTTTGATTATTTTTTGAAGTCTCTCATAATTTTGCAAAATTATGTTTTATAGCTTTACTGTTGAAACGGATGGCATGCCTTTAATAGGAAAAAGCAATGAGAGTTGCTTTCAACTTCAAAAAGGAGGCATTCAGGAAAGAAAACACATCCAAGTAAATAAACCTGTAGATGGCTTACATTATCCACCATTACTGATACCTACTTTCTGCTTCCGTAGTATTTTTACAGAAGCTTGCCTGCATAATGCTGCTGCTCTTTATACTGTTCTATTGCTGTTGGTCTACCTATGCCTTTAGATTGTGTCTGATTTTATTTTGCTTTAAACTGAATCCTCGGAACTTAGTCTTTAACAGGAACTTCCATTATGATAATTATAATCTTAGAACTGCAGAGCAGGAAGGGACCCTGTTGTTTTAAAGTGCAGATCACCTTGCTGCTGATATGTACACTTACATGATTGGAACACAGCTTTTGTCTTTTGAATATTTTACTGTTTACGTGCTCTCCCCCCCCATTTTTATACAGACTTATACAGACCCCAATTGTATAAAATAAGGGGATTATTATTATTTTATTTGTACGATCAACAGATCAGATGTAAGGGGGATTAGGAACGGCCTTTTCTCTCATCAGTGGCTCTACTAAGAGAAGAGTATGGGGGGTGACTTTGTTGAGTTTCTCTTAGCGTTCTGAAGGTTTGCTCAACCCTCTGGAATCAATCAAGGGCAGAGGGAGTCCCTCCTTCGTGGTCTGCTATCTGTGGAACAACCTAATTAGATTCCACCCATTTTGCAGCTGATTTGTCTTCCCCTTCCCCCCATAATGGGGGGGGGAGAAATCTCTTGTAAAAAAGATGGAAGAAAGGATGAGGAAATTTGAGAGGGTTACAGTTGGAATTCTGCAAATGATACAGGGTGATCATTACACAGTAAAGCTTTGTCTGTATGTATGCCGCACCTTTCTTTCAGTCTCCCGAAACTTAATAGTAGCAGAGCCATCTTAGGCAGTGGTTTTTTAATTCTTGACTTTCTTTTCTTTAATTACTAGAATTGTTTTTAAACTAAAGACATTCCATTTCACTTTGGAGGTGCACTGAAGAGTTCAGGTTTCCCTGGTTTAGTTTGTAGTAACTGGCCACACAGCAAAACCTTGTTTGGAGCTTGTTAATGTAACTCTCTTGAAGCCCAGCAGGTGGTGCAGCTTCAGAAGAGCTATTTCATAAGCTGTTAAAAGCTGTGAACAGGAATAGAGTGCACCTTTACTCATTCTCTATTTTCTCTCTCCTTTTTTCACTCTTTAGGTGCTCTAGTGTAGTGGTTCTCAAACTGGGGTCCCCAGATGTTCTTGGACTGCAACTCCCAGAAATCCTGACCAGCACAACAAGTGGTGAAGGCTTCTGGGAATTGCAGTCCGAGAACATCTGGGGTCCCCAGTTAGAGAACCACTGCCCTAGTGCAGAAGCAAAGTGGCACCAAGTTGTTTTTTTTTAAAAAGCTCTTCCTTGTTTAAAAAAATGTATTTTCTCGTCATTTCTAAGCTTTAAGAGAAGTTTTGCCAAGAGGCACTTTGTTCGCCGTTCCTGTATGCTGACACGGTAGCTCTTCTGCATCTGTTCAAGTGATCACACGACTGAACCAATACAAATTAATCCTTTAAAAAAATAGACACCCCAGTAGTGGAGGGGAAAACTGAATTTTGTGGGTGGGACTCCAGACTGATTTGCATTTCCTTTTGTGTCTTGTGGTCAATGGGAAAAAATGTGGATCAGCCTGCCCCAAACCTGTAGCATTTCCTACATTTTTCCAATGTAGTCGCACACATAGTAAGTTCCAATGTATTAAGTATACAATGTAGCTGTTCCTGTTAACAATTTTTATTTGCAGTTAAGTGGGAAATGCATAGCATGAATCCATCACTACACTAACACTCATCAGAAGAAGGTGCTACACCACATGCATGAAAAACAAAGTCTAGTTTTATGCAGTATTGTTAAACCTTTCATCTGAGGTGTCTTTTAAAAATGCTTCCTCTTTTACAGGGAGGGCTGCTCCTTCTGCCTTTACTTACAGTGCATCATTCAGCAAACTAGCCTTAAGCATTATCTGGAAGTTGAGTCATGGCAACTGGATTTCTTTCTCATTAGGTTGAAACTACTCATCCAAGTAGTTTGTTCAGTCCTAGATGACTGAGAATCTTCACAGATATATAGTCTTAAGGGTATTCTTCAGACACCCAGAGTACACCTGAAGCACAATAGCTGCCACAATTGACTGTATTCTGTGGAAAGAGGGGTATCACTTTTTAAATGCTCCAAGTACTGTACTTTAATAGATACTGGTGATTTTCTATAGCTGTAGAAAACCAGCTTGCTGGAGACAGAGAAATGAACCTAGCCTATTGCCTACACTGGTGTGTGTGCGTGTATGTGTTTGTAATTTATGAAGTGTTTTTAATTTAAGAAAACATTTTTTTTTTAAAAAAACCTTCCATATGTAGACAAGTTCAAGACCAGGGATTTTATTTCGACTTTAAAAAATTAATTTACCAACTGATTTTCTAGATGGCAATGGCTTCTGCCTTCCCTTTTTACACTGGCCAGTTGAAAATCCAGGAGCATTTTGAGGCTGCCGTTGAAAGACTGTCAGCCCAACTGCCAATTCAGATGGTCTGTCACTAGAACAAACAACAGATTACAAAATACAATTGGCACAGTTATCCCCCCCCCTGCAAGTACAAAGAAATAATTCAATCACACAGGACCTAGTTATAATTCACCTGGTTGCATGCTGCCAACTCTGGATTTCCATTCCTTCTTCTCCCTAACTCATATACAGTGGTGCCCCGCATAGCGACGATAATCCGTTCTGAAAAAATCGTCGCTATACGGATTCGCCGCTATGCGGGACTAAAAACCCCATAGAAACGCATCAAAACACGTTCAATGCGTTCCTATGGGGAAAAAGCTCACCTTTAAGTGAAAATCCGCCATCCAGCCCCTGCCCAGGCTGGAGTTGCGAGGGGAGAGAAAGTGCCCTGAAGTACAGCTGGTTGGTGGGGGTTTGTAAAGCTGGCTTCCTGCAATCTTCGCAAACCCCCACCCATCAGCTGTGCTTCGGCGTCTCTCTCTCTCCACCCCTTGCAGCGGTGCCTTGGTCTCCTTCCCCAGGCTGGACCTGCAAGGGGAGAGAAAGAGTGCCCGCGCGCTAGCTGGTCGGCGGGGTTTTATAAAGCTGGCTTCCTGCAATCTTCGCAAACTCCCGTCCATCAGCTGTGTTTCAGGGCTCTCTCTCTCCACCCCGCAACACAGCTGATCAGCAGGGCCTTTGGGATGATCGTGGGGAAGCGCTTCCCCACGATCATCATCGCAATGCGATGTTTAGCCTATCCGGTATGCGGATTCGTTAAATGGGGCGCTCGTTAAGCGAGGCACCACTGTACACTGAAGTCTGCTCAGGAGGCTCCTGCTTATAGGAAAATCAGTTTTCTCAGTGCCTAAAAGCAACTTGGAATTCCCATTATCCACAAGTAATGTTAAAGTTGCCCTCTGCTAATGTATCGTTGTCTTACCCACCTCTTCCTTGACTCTTACAGGTGCTGGATGTTAGCAAAGAAGGAAAAGAGGAAGTTTTCTATGGACCCACCTTGCCTTTTGCTTCTAATGGAATAGCAGCCTGTTTTCTGCCTGCTCCCTACTCTACCTGCCCAAACCTACAGCCTTTGCAAGTGCCTCACCACAAGATAGGCACTGTGTGAAATGAGTGGCATGACTCACAGGAGAATTTCTTCATTCATCCTTCATTTTATCTTGAATCCCCAAACTGAAAAAACGAAAACAAAAACAAAATTGCATTTCCTCCCTGCAATAGAAGCCAGGAGAGAACAAAACCAAAGGGGTCAAAATTAGACCAACCCCCTTTCCTACCTTCAAGTAGGAGTGAGCATCTTTATCTATTAAGATCCTTCACCCCAGTATTCTAGGAACATGGTGCGCAGTTCTCTGACCTCTTGCTCAAAAAGATCTGCCATTTTTCTTGATTTCCAGAAGTCCACCACAGCAGAGAAAATGTTGAGTTATTAAGGACTGTATATTACTGTAAAATGCAGTATGTTGAAAGGGAGCCCAAAGTAAGTTTTACTTATACTATTTGCTCTTTCTGTCACTAGACAAGTCCAAGGAAATGAATGAAGAATATAAACTTTTAACTGAGCAGATGCAAACTAACTGGATTCTATTTTTCATCTAAAACTGTAGCTAGTATCCTGTTGTGTAGATTTGTTGGTACAACAGGAGTGATCTCACCGACAACAACAGAGTCTTGTTAATTATAGAGTTCTTGCTTCAACTGCAGGTTGCTCCAATTTCAGATTGCTTGCATAAACTCTACAGGGGCATTCTGCCACTATCTCTTATGTCACTCCTATTGCACTGGTGGAGATATACAACAGGATTTTAGCCACTTAATTCTCAGAAACAAGGCTACAATTGTGGTGAGTTTGTACTGGTAAAGTTTTGAAAATTGCTTATGTTGAGTGCTTTTCCTTGGTATTAGGAGATCTTGAAAATTCAAAACTGTATATTTCAGCACATCTCGTCAAGGTGAGCCTCAAAACTAGTGGGTGTTTATGTTTGCTTCACAATGGAGGGGGTGGGCTAAAGGCTGAGCAAAAAAGTCATGTAGTTGTAATACTTTTTGCAGCAGGAAAGACAAAGATGAGGCACTACCATCAGCAAGAGAGTGTCACATTGCAGGAAGGAGTGAGACAGACACCTTAAAGGTCATGGTGAAGCCTTGCTGCAATGTTCAAGATTGCTCCCTATAGAATTAAGACAGGAGTGCTTAGACAATAGTGCAGCTTGTTTAGCTATATTGAGTTCTTTTGTCTTTGTACAGATCCAGAGTGGCTTTCTGAAACTACAGTATTTAGCAGACACGTGAGGGAAATGGATTGTTTAATTCCAGTATCTACAGCAAAAGCTGTAAATACAAAATAAAGTCATGTCAAGACATCATCCTGAAATTTGAACTTTAAAATGTACTGTACTTTTCAAACAACGTTGTAGGAAAGCTTGTTTAGGGGAAGTCTGTTGCTTTGAAGTTAAAAAGCTAACTATTGCCTATTTGGAGTTTTCCCTAAAGAGTTACTTAAAATAGTGAAGAACCAGATGCTCCGTATACTTCTTGGAACACGTATCTAACAGTTCTTGCTGTTGTTTTGAACACAAGACAAGTAGGCATTGATGGGGCACTCCCTGATTTTCTTCAGTGAAAGAATACTGAAGATGGTATTTTCATCTACCCACTCATAAACATTTCGGCTTCTGCTGCTTAGAGCAGGGGTCAGGGAACTTTTTTACCTTTTACCCCCCCCCCCCCAAATTTATATAAGCCAACATTACCCCCTTGATTTGAAAGGAAGGAAATGATACAGTATTTGATGAAGCCACCTTTTTTCCCGCTTTAATTGGAGCCTTGCCTGTTCTTTTCATAGTTTTGAGTCAGTCTCTCTCTTTCTCACACACACAAACACAGACACAAATGAACATCCACCCTCCCTCCACCCTTTTTTCCTACCTTAATTCAAGCCTTGCCTGTTCCTTTTTTCATAGTTTTGAGTCAGTCTCTCTCTCACACATACACACACGCCCACCCACCCTCCATCCATTTTCTCCATACATTTAAATAAGCTTGATGAAGCCCTTGGTCTCTCGCACCTTCCTTCCCCTCATTAACTTGATCCATTCCCACCTCCTGCTTATTTCATTCATTTCCGGAGGAAGCAGTCATTCGTTGCTTGATTGATTGCTCGGGCTGTTCCACAGCTGTAGCCAATTAAGCAGGCTTATCTCTGAACAAATGGAGGATTTACAAGTGCCTGCTGCAACCAGGAAATAACAGGGAAAGGTGGCTTACAATTTGAGCTTTGGCTGCAGGGGTGGGAGGGAGGGGTAGCGCTCTGCTCAGTACCCCCAGGATGTTCACTTTTACCGTATTTGGAGTA